TGTTTAGAAATAAAAAAAATTTTTTTTTTTTTTTTTTTTTTTTTGCATAAAGTCTAAGATGGTAATCATTTTGTCTTTACTTACCATGGGAATTTCTGCTGATGTTTTCTAGAGGTGTTGAAAATTGTCTCATTTGCACAGCTCTTTTTATTTTTTTATATAATCCTTTTTAAATTTATATTACACACATACCCCTTCCTCCAAAGTAATCTTGTCTAAGTTGTATTTACCTTAGTATCAAATATATTACTGTTTTACATTAACAAGTTTCTCTGTTTTTTTTTGTAGATTACAGATCACAATTAGAAGAAGATGAACAACTTGCCAGAGCTATAGAAGAAAGTCTAAATGTGGAGTCTCCTCCCAGATATGGAAATGAAAATATGTATCAACCACCTCAGTATTTCCCCATGGGGTCCAGGTACGAGAGTTTGATGTTGGATGATAATAATGTATGAATTTGGAATCATAATTCAACACTTTCTTTTTTGACTACTTAAAGGGATATATGTTAATAGAATTGTCTAAACTTGTTTATTCATTTAAGCATAGGGTCACAATCCCCGGTTCTATCAATTCTCAACTTGGCATATACTACCCCTACTTTTAATGTATGTTATATCCCTGTGTTGATGATCAACAGATTTTCCTTGCACTTCCCACTTGTTTCTGCCAGTCCTTTTGAATTACTTATTAACTGATATTGCTATTGACCCATTACCAATATTTTTGGTAGAAAGGGATTGTTGTAACTGGGTTTGGTGGTAATTTATATACGTTGGTCTTCATCCTTTTTCTCCTCTTCAAATAGCTTGTACCAAATATATAAAGATACATTATTTGATTGAAGTCTGCAACATTTGAACTAATTTACTGCCAAATAAGATTATAATATATATGTCTAGACTCTGTATTATTATGGGATGAATTAATAAACAGATACCCTCGAGTCCCTATGAACTAAATTCCACTTGCAAAGAAGAGATATGGTTATTTGTCTAGTTATTTCATATGTCTAGAGAAAACATCTATCCAGTATTTTCCGGTTTGTTTTCAATTGTTTGAGAAGTTATTCTCTTCTTTCAATTTGCTAGACCTCTATAATATCCATAAACATGTGATGCACATTAATAAAGTTGTCTAGTTATTTCCATAATAGGATTTGTGCTGGATGCTATGCTGAGATTGGTTATGGACGATATCTAAATTGCTTGAATGCATTCTGGCATCCTGAATGCTTTCGCTGCCGTGCTTGCAACCTACCAATCTCTGATTATGAGGTGCTAAAATTTCCATTTACCTGCTGTATTGCGTATTTTCCTTTTTTTCTTACAGTTTTTTTTTGCTTATATATAGTATTATTATTATTATTGCAGTTCTCCACCTCTGGGAATTACCCTTACCATAAAGCATGCTATAAGGAAAGCTACCATCCGAAATGTGATGTCTGCAAGCACTTTGTAAGTAATTTTCACTAGTTTTAGGCAAAATTGCACTCAGTACGATTATCTTACATGATATGCACACCCCTGCTATTTTTCAACCAGTCACTTGTTACCCTAATAACACCCCTTAGCTAACGTTGATTAACAGATCCAATTCTCCTGCTGTTATTAACAATTATACCCTTGTCTCCCTCTTTTCGCTATCTCCTTTACCTTAAAAAATTGAACCAGGAAGGATGAGATCGAGAGCCTTCAATGAATAGTGACAGCTTTTTTGTGAAAATGTGGTAGCTTTCACTTTCCTGAGATGCAATAATGTCATTCTTGTGTTAGAGTATGGGAGTCAATTCCCTTCATGAGATGTTTCCACCCCCATTTATGAATCAGCATATAAAGACTAAGGAACACCAAATAAAAAGACCAAATCATTCTCAAATTTGTGTCAGCCAACATCCCTATATCTTGTTAACCTCATCCAAACCATCACAAAAACCACTACCATGTATGGCTTCTGCTTCTGTGAACCACACCCATGCCCATCCATCTGCTATATCAGCCTAACACCGCTTACCCACCCTGCAGCAGCCACCTCAATGAGTCCATCACCACCACAAAGCCACCTTCAATCTCAACTAAACAACACCTCTCCTTTCACAGTGAGCACCACCACCTCAAGGGCTCAGTCCCAGATGATCAACCTTAAACCAAAATATCTGCTCAACATTTTCAGTAACCCCTGTTCATGAACCGGTTTTTGACAAAAACATTGCCATAGCTATCACAAACAACAAATACAACTTTTCACCATCCTCAACCATGGTGGCATTGACATTCCTGCCACTAAACTAACCTTTTCACTGGAATTGACCATTGTTGGTCAATCACCCTCTAGAATTGCATGAACCACTATCAATGCAACTTTCAACTTCTGAGAAAAAAATAAGGGAGTTGTGGCAAATCTTTGCTGCTGGGATGAAGGAGAATGAGAGAAATGAAATACATATTTAATAAATTTTATTTTAATGATGATTTGCAAATAATATATATAAAATCAATTAAGGAAATTTAAATTTAAATTATAAATGATAAAATATTTAAGTCATTATATTTTTTAATAATATTTTTAAAGAAATAAAAATTTATTTAGGGAAAATTCAATAGTATTAAATTACTTCTAAAAAATATTTAAAAAGTATTATATATGTAAAAATACTCAATAAAATAATAAACACTTCATACTGTTATATTAACATGCATTATCTTTTCTCCAAAAAAATAAATAATTAAATAATCAAAAGAAGTGAAGAGAAATTAAAATGATAGAAAAATTGCAAGAAAAAAAAATAGCTAATGAGTAATGAGAGTTTTTATTGAGTAGGAATTTCAACAAAATAAACTAGAGAGCAAGAATAACCCACTAACAAATTAAAAGAAAATAAAATGCATGCAAATAATAATAGCTGAGACTCGAAGTGGGGCACTAACAACAAAAAATAAAATGTAAGAAAACAGCAATTGGTGTGATTCGAAGTGGGGTATTAACAAACTTAAGCTTCAGTTAAACTCCTTGAGTTAGCTTTTTCAAAAGCTCTTATTTTTTTATTATTTATTCACAAATTATAAGCTACTTATTTTTTCTAGGACTTTTATACAAATGTGTTTGTCCCAGCTTTTGATTGTAAGTAAAGATTAAGCTGGGCCAAATGCACTCTCAGTGACTGTTCACGAACATGTCTTTTACAAAAACTTTGCCATAGCTATCACAAACGACAAATACAACTTTTCACATCCTCAACCATTGTGGCATTGATATTCCTGCCACTAAACTAACCTTCTCACTGTAATTGACCATTGTTGGTCAATGACCCTCTAGAATTGCATGAACCACTATCAATGGAACTTTCAACTTCTGAGGAAAATAAGAGAGATGTGGTAAATCTTTGCTGATGGGATGGAGGAGAATGAGAGAATAACTAGAGAAGGGGCTTAGGGCTTATATTACTGAAATTTATGGCTCATGTTCTTGGAGATGCTTTTGTTTTTACCGAAAATGATCATGGCAGTAGTAGAAAGTGCTACTGGAATCACCTTGCCTATCTAAACTTGTGGACATTGTCTGAATCATTCATGATTTTAATTGTTTATAACTTCATGTTAGAATTAAAAAAAACACATGCTTGTAAGTTTTTACCGTGACTTCAGCCTTATATCTCATTGCCTGTTGCTGTTGGTTTTTGGCAATATATATCTTTTCACAGATTCCAACAAATCCTGCTGGTCTTATTGAATATAGGGCACATCCCTTCTGGATCCAGAAATATTGCCCTTCTCATGAACATGATGGTACTCCACGCTGTTGCAGCTGTGAGCGAATGGAGGTCAGTATGGATGGAGTATATTTATCTGATCAAATATTGTTTATAGGCTTGCCTAGGAAAAGGGAATGAATTTGCATGCTGCATAGTGAAAAGAATGTAAGAAAACTTTATCTCTTCATCTACAGTCACAAGAGGCAGGATATATTCCTCTTAAGGATGGCCGGAAGCTCTGCTTAGAGTGTCTGGATTCTGCTATCATGGATACTAATGATTGCCAACCCCTTTATGCTGATATACAACGATTTTATGAAAGCCTAAATATGAAACTGGATCAGCAAGTTCCACTACTATTGGTTGAAAGACAAGCTCTGAATGAAGCAAGAGAGGGAGAGAAGAATGTAAGAAAATGCATTTTCATCTGTTTGCATTAAATATAATAAGTGATAATTTGATTGTAATGACATTCTATCAAACATACTAGGAACTATTTTGTGGTGTTGGGAATCATCTGCACGCATAATATTAAAAGGAAAATAATGCCTTTTTCTTTTGAAAACTTTGAAAATGCTATCTTTGACTTGGGTTTTCCTCTTTCTGTTAAATGTTGACCACATGGCTATGTTAAATAATTAAATTTGACATGCATGATGCAGAAAATTTAAAAACAAAAAGGAAACATAAAAAGTATATTCTTATTTGGAAGTCTAACTTGCAATAAATAATATTGTCCAAGTCAACATGCTTTCAACTATGAAGCTTCAATTCATAAACAGTTCATGATTAAACAGTGCTTTTACATTTTCATATTTGAGTCTTTATCTTGGGCAGGGCCATTATCACATGCCGGAAACCAGAGGGCTCTGCCTCTCAGAGGAGCTCAGCAATGTAAGATTTCCTGTTGTGTTCAGTTTCGGTGACACACAATTTATGGTTAGATGATAGCATTTCTTTAGAACCAATAATTAACAATTTATGGTACATTGCATTTATCTTAATCAGATCTCGAGACGACCTAGACTTGGGGCAGGAAATGGAGCTATGGACATGATAGCACAGCCATACAGACTGACTTCACGCTGTGATGTGACAGCAATTCTCATTTTATACGGTCTTCCAAGGTAATAGTTTAGTGTTTTTGCTTTCACATCTTGTGTGACTTGGAGACAAACTCGATGCTCATGAGCAGATAAATAATTTCAAAGATAACCAATCTAAAAGACAAGAAAATTTCACAAGGATGAAAACAACTGTTAGTAAGAGATCCACGAGTTAGAAAATGTAATATGTATCTAGTTGCGGAGATCTAGATAATGTTATATGTTAGCTTAATTGCACTTTTGGTTCCCTTACTATTGTCATTTTGTGAATTTGGTCTCCCATTTTTTTTTCAGAATTTGATCTCCTTTATATTTTTATTGTGCAATTTTGATCATTTTGTTAACTTGACGTCGGATATTTAACAAAATTACTGATTTGGCACTGCAGTAGAGTGTGACATCACTGTGAATGTGCTAATGTGTCCATGACTGTAATAGAATGTCACATTATCATTTCTTTTTAATATTGGATGTCAAGTTCACGGATGGACCAAAATTAAACAATTAATATAATGAGAGATCAAATTTGGAAAAAAAAATTAGGGGAGACCAAATCCACGAAAAGACAATAGTTGAAGGACTAAAAATGTGATTAAGTTGTGTATGTTAGGCAAAAGCAATGTATTTTACATGGTCTTTTGCTAACATGACTAAATAAAAATAAAAGAAGCTAAAAGCTTTAAATTGTAACACTCTTCTTCCTTGGCATTCATTGATTTAGCTCGTGAATTCTCATTCCTACTTGTAAAAACCATTGTGTTCTTTCGAATTAGAAAAGGAAGTTGATTAGAAAAAGTAATATCTGCAGCCAAGCAGGCATTGCCTTGTTGATATTCAATTATGTAATAATTCTCCTCGATCCTAGTGATGCAAGATTCTCTTTTTTGTATGTTTAGCTCATGTGTCCTTTCACAACAGTGTTTTATCTGTTGATTTCATTTGTACATGAATGCTTTCTTTTTACAGGTTGCTTACTGGTTCGATCCTAGCTCATGAGATGATGCATGCATGGCTGCGGCTTAAAGGTATTATTTTATTGTAGGGAATATATTTCATTGCGATTCATGTAGAAAGCCGTAGCAGTTTGGGTGTGCTTTTTTTTTTTTTTTTTGGCTACGGCGTGTAAACTGTTTATTCATTTTAGCAGTTGAGATTTAATTATCACCCAGCATTAAACCAATGTTATGTTGTTGGGGCTGTCTCTCAATTTTTTCCTGACTGTTGTGTATATGAAGGTTATCGAACTCTAAGTCAGGATGTTGAAGAAGGAATCTGTCAGGTTTTGGCTCATATGTGGTTGGAGTCTGAACTTTCTTCTGCTTCAGGCAGCAACTTTGTATCAACGTCATCCTCATCTGCATCACACACATCTAGGAAAGGTAAAAGACCTCCGTTTGAGAGGAAGCTTGGGGAGTTCTTCAAGCATCAGATTGAATCAGACATTTCCCCTGTTTATGGAGGTGGCTTTAGGGCGGGTCAAAAAGCAGTGCGTCAGTTTGGTCTACAAAGGACCCTTCACCATATCAGGATGACGGGGAGTTTTCCATATTAAGTACAGAGATACCCCATTTAACAGATTGTTTCTCATTCTTTCTAGGTATAAAGCCCGGCCTGTTGTTATTAGAAACCGAGGCCAAGGTGATTTTTTGTACTTGTAATTATTGATACCGTTGCGGATATATTGATTACATTCATATGTTTTTTTGTTTTTCAATTTATCACACTGCTACTTTTTGGCTTTACCGACTTCCAACCTCTGCTATTTCCCAAACATAAGTTAAAGAGAACACTTTCCTCGCAATATATCGCGAAGTAGGTCTGTATTTGAAAATGAATCCGAGCTTGATGGGATTCTTCAGGCAGCTTATTTATTATTATTTTTTTCTTTAGATTTTTCCTCTTTCAGCTTGCATCCTTTTTGAAAGGCATCATTAAGCTTTATTCAGTTAATAAGATGATGCTGGCGGGGTAAGAGACTTCTGCATTAAAGAACCAAACTACAATTCTACACGAAAGGCGTATAATATATATATATTTAGTTATATACAAATTAATTGCAAGGGAAATAAAAGTTTACATTCTGTATTAGTTAACCAAAAGCCCATCATTTCACCACTCCAGGTCAACACTGTTGTCGATGCTAGGTGGTATTATTTGGTCCATATAACCTGTATATATTTTCAATAAGCTAGAGACTACCTCTACCATGTGTGGTCTCTCTTTCGGTTCTTGGATCAAGCAGGCTAGACCCAGTTTAACTAGCTGGAGAACGCATGCTTTCTCACTGTTTCCTGTGAGGCTAGGATCAATGAACAAACTCACCTTCTCTTCTCCATTCTCTTCACCAATGAGATTTACTTTGATTGCATGAAGCATTACTTCTCTTCCATCTTGCAGGGTAACATAATCTTTTCCCGTGATCAATTCCAGCAGCACCACCCCGAAGGCATAAACATCCATTTTGGTAGTGACAATCCCTGCCTCCAGATACTCTGGAGCTATATATCTACTTGACATAGCGACATGTGGCGAGGTATAACCTGAAGTTATTTTCCTGTCTGATTCTTCAGCAAGAGCAAAATTTGCTATCTTGGCTCTTAGATCTTTGTTCAGTAGGATGTTTCCACTGTTAATATTCCTGTGCACATAGCAAGGTTCTGTGAAGTTGTGAAGATACTGTAGACCATTGGCAATATCCAGAGCAATCTGGATCCTATTAGCTAAACACTGGTTCTCCGTGGACCTGTTTTCTCTTAGCCATTCTCTCAAAGAGCCATTTTCCATATACTCATAAACAAGATAGTGGCAACCATCGTTTTCACAATAACCTTGCAGCTTTATCAGGTTGAAATGATTGATCCTCTTCAGCAAATTCACTTCCTTTGACCCATCTCCTCTCATTATTTTGACAGCCAATGTGTTCCTGCCATTACCAAATACCCCACGAAACACCGAACCTTTAATTCTATTCTTTGAACAAAAGTTTTCGGTGGCCTTCTTTATTTCCTTAAACTTGTACACTTCGGAGTGATGTTCAATGATTGCTATCTCCCCACGGATATCTTCTGAAGTCAACTGCTTTGTTTTCTTACCTTCTTTGCCTTTCTCAATGAAACTCGGTGATCTCTTTCTGAACAGATAAACCCCATATAAGACAACACAGAGAACCAGCATGGAACCTCCTGTGGTGGCAATAGCAATGTAGAGTTTCCTCTTTGACTTGCACTTTTTGGAGCTGCAAACAGGAAGAGGTGACACGGTTGGTGGATCACTAACAACTGTGGTCATCGAACTCAACGGTTCACTTGGCAAAGGAATCAGAACAGTTGTGAGTGGAAAAATAACTTGTGTTTGTGTGGAAAAACCATTGGCATCAACCACACTACCTGCAGCTACATTGAACCTTGTAGCAATACTTGAAATGTCATCACCCAAGTTCACTGAATACGTTAGCAAATACTTGGTGCCACTTCTTGTCTGATTCCACGTTGGACAAGCACATCTGAGTGGCGCATACAATTCCATGCCAGGCTTCAAATCAAGTACCCCATATGGATTAGCACGTTTGAGGGAATCACAAGTGACCAAACCCTGAAAGGTTTCAAGTGCCACAGTGTAATATGTTGGCAATGGCCCCAATACATATTTGGTTTCAGCTTGGTAATAGTCCCTAGTTAAACAAGAACAGGTCACAGGGACAATCACCTCTTTCCCAGGTGGGAACACAGTGAGCATAGTGGCATCATTGATCCTTGCAAGCTCTTCTGGGTTTGATGATGTGAGGTTAGAAATTGTGGGTATGGAGTTGAAGGGAGGTTTGGATTTGAAGATGAGGAAGGCCATGCAGGATTTGTTGAGGCCATTGCATGTGTAAAGGAAGGAAGGTGAAGGCCCCATTGTGTCATTGTTCTTGCAGCTGAATACTGAATCCCCAGAGTAATTCTGCTGTGCTTTGGCATTCAAAGAAAGAAGAACAAAGGTTAGTGTGAAGAGAAATGCAACATGATTCATGGTGAGACTTTGTTCTTGAGGAAACTTGACTATGAAAAACAAAGTGAGAACATTTGAGTGTGTGATATTTAAGATGTTTGAGACATATGCTAGCATTATTATATCAGAATAACGCGTGCAAATTATGCTGACTAATTCAGTATGTTACAGCAAACAATACAGGCAATTTGCCGGGTCCACGGTTTTGCGTACCTTGGTTGCTTTTTGAGATGGATTACATAACTGTGATCATATAAGATATTTGATTGACCCAGTTTTGGGGTTGCATCATATTATATTATGTTATGATGTGAACTCAGGGAAATGAAGATGAAGAAGAATCTGGAATATTTTTTTCATTCAGAGAATGAGAATATACAAAAATATATGGCCACTTGAATGAGGTTGTGAAAAAATGTCTTATATGTTCGTTCTCAACGGTCTAGCCAGCCCAAGGCTGGCATCGTTTATCTTACTAATTAGACCGTGGTGTATACATTTCCAAGATCAGATTATTAATTTTAAATTTTTAAATTTAAATTTAAGATAAATTTATTTTTAATTTCTTAAATTTAAAATTGATCCTTTTAGTCCATTTGATTTTATAAAAAAAATATTTTAATTTTTATATTCAAATTTTGATAGAAAACTTATCAAATATTATCATATAAAATCTATTTATTATTATTTTTATTAATAAATATATTATATTAAACTAAGTTGATAATATATAATTGTTTTAACCCATCACTTCTAGATATATTATTGGTGATAAGTACTAAAACAAAATTTTTAAAAATTATAAAAATTAAAAATAGTTATTTTAAATTCGAGAGATAAACATTTATCGTTAAATTAGGAGTAAAAAAATATTCAAGCCTTAATTTTATGAGAATTTCTACGGTACCCTCTATAAAAGAAGGGTACCGGTACTGTTGATGATGATGTGTCACTTACGTGTAAATCCAAGTCATTTATAATTTTTTAATTATTTAAAATTCACATTCAAGTCATTTATGATATTTTATTTTTTCAATTTTTAAATTATTTAGTCATTTTATTTTTATTTTATATATTCTAATTTATTTGTAATAATATTATTATATATTTAAATAGTTTAATTTTAATAATTTTTTAAGTATATTTTTATCTTTTCACTTAAAATTTATCTTAAAATTTTGAATTTCTATATTATAATTTTAATAATTTTTTATTTCTACTATTTATTAATTTTTTTATTAATTTTTTAATATTTTATAATATTATTAAAATCTTATAATTTTAATCTCTATAATTTTATCTTACTTTTTATTTTATAAGTATAATTTAGATTATTCATTTTATAATTAAATTAATTTTTTTAAATTTTTTTATGAATTTACATAGAAAAATGTATTGAAACTCCTCAATCTTTGAAGGTACCGTAGCAACTCCCATACATAATATTTTTTTTCATGGACATAATTTATACAATATTCTAAAATTGACAATCAAGAATTAATTTATACTTATAAAATATGACTTTTATTGGTAAAAAATTATATATAATAAAATGAGAGCACTAATGACACTCTTTTAAGTACATTTTTGTGGTTTAAAAGGAAAAAAAATCAAGAGTTTATATGCTTTAAATTATTTTATAAAAATACATTATAAGTTCAAGTAATAAACAAATTTATAAGATACATAAGTCATGGATAAAAAAATGCTGCATAAATTACTTGAAGTAGTAGTGTACATGAAAAGATATTTAAGAAACTTATAAACTCATTTAACTAACTTATAAGTTAGTTACTAAAATATGTTTTTGTTAAAAAACTTATTTTAGGAATAGTTTATTAAAATTATATTAAACACTTTAAACTTCACCAATCAATTTATAAATTTTAACCAGTTTATAAGTTAGTTTTACTAAACACATCCTATATTACAAGGTCTTACTTTTTTTTTCTTTCATTAACTTAACTGAAATTGATTATTTTTAATCAAATTTTCAATATAAAAATCCTTCTACGTATCCTATCCTGTCATTCTCATTATAAAAACTGTTTTGGTTGCCATGTTACTTTCACATTTTCTACTATTGTTACTTTCACATTTTCTACTATTGTGTGTCTATTTTAAAATAATACTATTAAAAACATTTAATTATTAAGAAATTTGTTTTAATTAACATAAATTAACTTATAATTTTGAAAAGGAAAACATCATCAAACAAATAATAACACTGCTATGAATATCTTTTACTTTCAAAATTTGTCGATCACTAAACTTGAGAATGATTAAGCAAACTCATCAAATCTTCATCATTCCTTTATAATGTAAAATTTAAAAATCATTGTCTTAATTTTTAAGATGATAAAACATTAGAAATAAACTCAAATATTGAAAATGATGTATATAAAGTTAAAAAAAAAAATTATATAATTTTTCATTTATCAACTAATATTATCAAACGCTTTCAAGAACTCATTTGCTTATAAGTTTTTAACTTTTAAATTCATAATTTATAACTTATAAGTTAGTTTTATTAAACACTCTTAAAAAATATGATATATTGACGGTCATACCAATATAAGATTATTTTAGTTTAACTAATGACAGAGTTTGAATATTAAATATGTGTAATTATGCTAAATACTTGGAAAGAGAAATTATTACTCATATGCATCATACTTAATTAGAATAAAATTATTTTCAATAAAAAAATATCTGTGGCCTTTCTATATATATATAAAATTAAAAAAATGATATAATTCATACTAATATTTTGAAGATGGAATATCAAATATATGAAGCTAGAAGCAACGTCTCTAAGAGATAGCACTGTTTATTTTTTTGAACAAAACAAACCATATGAAAAGAATCCAACCGATGAAAATAAATAGCATTGTGCCATTGTCAATCGTAACCATAGTCGAATTAATTAAAGATAATGAGATATACAAATAGCCTTAGCCAATATTAATTAATAGACGAGCTGGCCGGCATCTCTTGGTTAAAAAGAAGAAATTAACTGGAAGCATATGCCACGAAAAACCAACAGCACCAGATTTATGATCAGTTTTACAATAAATATAATTAAAGGCAACATTTTATATAAGGTATAGAATAAAAATATTGATTACTAAATGTGCTTTTTATATTCTATATGAATAAATATAATTTTTTTGACGGTATAATTACATATAGACTACCCTGAAAATACCTTTTGCATTCATAATCCAACCAACAGAACAATATACAATTAATTATAGTAAAATACAAATAATACGAAACAATGTTATAAAATAAAAACCATTCATCTTTTTATATTTTATATAATAAAAGTAATCGCGTGTCAAATAATATTGTTATTGTTAAAGAGACATTATTTTTAAGAACATAGGTTATGAAATAACTAAATCTTATAAAATTAATTTATAAATAATATTTCTTTTTATTTATATATTCTTGTACTGTCCCGGTTAGAATTCGACCTAACCTCTTTATATGGGCATATTCGGTCGAGGTTCAATCTGATTTCTCTACGTTAGACCCCTCGACTGTAATCCGATCCAATCCTTCTATAGGGGGCCTACTCGGTTAAGGTCTGTTTTCACTTTTCTACATGGGACTTCTCAGTCATAATCCGAACCGATTCCTCAATAGGGGCTCGCTCAGTCAAAGATCGATCTGACCTTTTTGCATGGGTTCGCTCGGTCAGAATCCGATCTAACCTTCCCACATATAAGCTATTCGGGGGCAAGGGCGAAAATCCTGCTTTTAATTACCAGATATCTTTCAAATAAAAATGGTCATGAAAATCTCTGCGTGGACGGGACCCATGAAGCCCATGAACAAGAAAGTATAAGACCTAAAACCCTAGAGTTGAAGAGGGCAGATCACACACTTGAATGCTCTAGCTCAGAGGCTTGACCTAGGAAAAATCCTAGTCCACCCTTTGACCGGAACATTTTGGCGCCCACCGTGGTGATACAGTAAAACTTTTCCTACACCCCAAGCAATACAAAAAACCTACACCCTACTATGGCGAGGGGCAGCACTTCCAACAACGACCCACAACACCCTACCATGGAGGAGATGATGGCATTGATCAATGGCTTGAGAGAGGAGAATACACGATCCAGGGAGAGGGAGGAGGCTATTCAACGAGAAAACGAAGAGATCAGACGACGAGCTGATGAGATGCAGGCCATGATAGCAGCCAATACCAAAATGACAGAGGAAGATGTCATGATGGAAGTCCCCAGGGATTTCAGACCTTTCTCGGAGGCTATAGAGGCCGAGACCATCCCAAGGGACCACCGAGTCCCCCAGGTGGAACCCTTTGATGGAACCCAGGATCCTAGTCAACACTTGAAGGATTTCCGAGCTCAAATGCTGATTTGCGGAGGGAGTATGGGAATCCGTTGCAAGCTGTTCATGGGCACGCTAAAAAAGGCGGCCCTTGATTGGTTTAGCGGTCTTCCCGACCGATCAATCACCGACTTCGATGTTTTTAGTCAGCTTTTCATGGCACAGTTTGCAGCCAACAAAAAGAAATCGCCGATCAAGTCAGACTTGTTTGATCTTAAACAGAAACGTGAGGAGTCGTTGAAAAACTTCTTGCAAAGGTTCAATGAGGTGGCCTTGAGGATAGCATCTTTGGATGAAAGGATGGCGGTCATCGCCTTTCAAAAAGGTCTAAGATCGTGTGCGTTCAACGTCGCGCTGGAGAGAGCAAATTGCCAAACGATGTCAGAGGTGAGAGCTTTCGCCTTAAGTCATATAAAGACGGAGGAAGGGCAAATCAATGAAAGAGCACCAGAAAATCGAGAAGCTGGGGTCGGAAATAAGGAGGATAATAAGCACCTTCGGCCATACTCGGATTGGAGTAAGCTACGTGATCGTTACAACATGAAGGAGGGCAATCACCGACAGGCGGATTATGGTGGTCGGAAAAGAGACGAGTGGGCCCGAAACAATGAGGAAGAAAAGTTTACGCCGCTCAATGTTCCTTGGAGACAGATACTTCATGACGTCAATAGTGCATCACTATTTGAGTTTCCAGTGACGACGGAGTGTCAGTTGGGTCTTTTCAAGACTGATTGGTGCGAGTTTCACAGGACCCATGGACATACCACTGAGAATTGTTTTGTCTTAGGGAGACAGATTGAATGTCTAATCAAGGAAGGACGATTGAAAAAGTTTGTTGCGAGAAAACACGAGGAAGGCTCGTCGAAAAGGCGACACAGACATGTAGAGGATGGTGCAAGGAGAGACAAACACAAAGAAAGGTCTCCCCCAGAGACCCCCAACAAAGGTGTCAGAGATCCATCAGCAGCCTATTCATGGGGACTTCAATACCGTCACAGGGGGATTTGCGGGAAGAGGCGTTATCTCAACTGCTCGGAAGAGGTACACTCGTATAGTGCTGACCGTATCGAAACTTCGCCGACCTCCTCAACCTGAAATCTCATTCTTAGATTCTGATTATGAAGGAGTAGCTCCCCATGAGGACGATCCCATCGTCATATCAGCAATTGTGATGGGTCATAACGTGAAGCGTGTGTTGGTCGACCAGGGCAGTTTCGCGGATATCTTATTTTGGGAAGCTCTCGAGGGGATGAAAATTCCAAATGACCGACTTATCCCCTATGTAGGAACCCTGCTGGGTTTTGCAAGAGACCAGGTCGTTGCTAGGGGTTATGCCGATTTGGAGACAACTTTTGGCCATGGCACTCAGATGAAAATGGTGGTGGTTTGGTATTTGGTAGTAAATGCTCAGTCGTCCTATAGCATCCTAATCGGCAGGCCTATGCTAAACAAATTAGGGGCGGTAGTGTCCACGTCCCATCTGAAGGTAAAGTATCCATTACCGAACGGAGGATAGGGAGTCCTTCAAGTAGACCAGGAGGTTGCTCGGAGGTGTTACGAGGATAGTCTAAAGGCACGAAGGCGATTGTATGCCGCGCAAGCGGAGCAAGAAGTCCACTCTGTTGAATTAGACCTAAGAATGAGTCAATTCGATCACCGACCCACCCCTGCCGAAGACGTTAAAGAGGTAGTAATGACGGAAGGTAAGAATGTGAAGATTGGCACATCTCTGACTCCTGAACATGAGGAAAAGATGATAGGGGTCATAAGAGCAAACGTGTCGGCATTCGCATGACACTCAAAGGACATGTCAGGTGTAGACCCTGACTTTTTGTGCCATAGGCTTGCGGTGGACCCAAACGCAAAATCAGTGATCTAGAAAAGGAGAAAGTTCGGGGAGGAGAAGCGAAAAGCCATTGTAGAAGAGACAAAAAAGTTGGTGGCGGCAAGACATGTACGCGATATCCAATACCCGACCTAGTTGGAAAATGTGGTAATGGTACGTCAAAGTAGTGGAAAATGGAGAATGTGTACGGATTTTACCGATTTGAATAAAGCCTGTCCAAAGGATTCGTACCCTTTGCCCAATATAGACTGTTTGGTTGATGGCGTGTTGGGTTACGAATTGCTAAGTTTCATGGATGCATACTCGGGGTACAATCAGATTCGAATGCACCTGGCAGACGAGGAAAAGACTGCGTTCATTGCAGATCAAGCCATTTATTGTTACAAGGTCATGCCTTTCGATTTGAAGAACGTGGGCCCAACTTATCAACGTTTGATGGACAAGGTGTTGGTAAATCAGCTGGGTAGGAACGTGGAAGCTTATGTGGATGATTTGGTGGTGAAGTCAATGAGTGTAGATCGACATCTGGACGACCTACAAGAGTTATTTGACACCATTGGCAAGTACCAACTTAAGCTAAATCTCAAAAAATACTCATTCGGGGTCCAAGCGGGCAAGTTTCTCAACTTTCTATTGACTCATCGGGGCATAGAGGCTAACCTTGATAAGTGCGCGACAATAATAAATATGAGAAGTCCAGCAACACTGAAAGAAGTTCAACAACTGGCGGGCAAAATGGCCTCTTTGTCGCGTTTTCTCTCGAAGGCGGCTAATAAGGCACGACCACTTTTTCAATGTCTCAAGAGGAATGATCGTTTCACTTGGATGACCGAATGTGAGGAAGCTTTCATGGAACTTAAGAAGTAACTTGCGTTGCCGCCAATTCTGTCAAGACCGCGACCGAGTACCCCTCTGTTGATATACATATCGGCGTCCGACTGAGCCGTAAGCACGGTTCTAGTACAAGAACAGGAAGGTTCTCAAGTTCCTATTTACTTCGTGAGTAGGGTCTTGTAGGGGGTAGAAGCGATATATCAAAAGATTAAGAAGTTGGCTCTTGCGATACTAGTTACCGCATAAAAGTTGAGGCACTATTTCCAAAGCTACGAGGTGATAGTTCGAACCTACCATTCGATCCAACAAGTCTTACAGAAGCTCGACCTAGCAGGAAGAATGATGAAGTGGTCGGTCGAGCTATCGGAGTTCTTCGTCAAGTACGAGCCGAGAGGGGCAATCAAAGCGCAAGCTTTAGCCGATTTTGTGACGGAATTGACTTCGCCTGTTGAAGAGGGTAACATCGGAGAGACTCAATGGATTTTATCAGTGGACGGTGCTTCAAATCTTGGAGGAAGTGGAGCGGGAATTATCTTGGAGGGTCCGAGAGGCATATTATTCGAGCAGTCCTTACGTTTTGAATTTCGGGCAAGTAATAACCAGGCGAAATACGAGGCATTGTTGACAGGGATGATTTTGGCAAAGGAGATGGGGCCGACGAGCTTGTCAGCTCGGAGTGACTCTCAATTGATTACGGGACAAGTGGCTGGAACTTTCCAAGCAAAGGACCCTCAATTGGCTAAGTAACTGGAGAAAGTTAAGCTCTTATCGAATTTTTTTTGAGAGTTTACGCTTAACCACGTATCGCGAGAACAAAATTTGCGGGCTGATATGCTCTCTAAGCTAGCAAGTACTAAGAAACCAGGAGCCACTCGATCAGTTATTCAGGAAATGTTGGCTCAGCCGAGTATTAATGAGCCACAGGGGAACGTTCTGTTTGTCCAAGAAGAACTCAATTCTTGGATGGGACCATATATTGCATACCTAACACGGGGGCATTTACTAGAGGAAAAAAAGGAGGCGTCGTTAATAGAAAGGGAGGCGACCAAGTTTGTGGTTATTTCAGAAAGGTTGTATCGAAGGGGTTTCAACACTCCCCTTCAAAGATGTTTGACTGCATCACAAGCGCAGAGGGTGATGGATGAAGTTCATGGTGGCATGTGTGGGAGTCATATCGGAGGACGAGCTTTAGTGTACAAAGTTACGCGTGCCGGGTACTTTTGGCTAACCTTGAGAAATGACTATGTAAACTAGGTTCGAAAGTGTGATGGATGTCAAGGACACGCGACCTTACACCACTCCCCGGCCAAACGACTTCATTCAATCTTGTCTCCTTGGCCATTCAACAAGTGGGGGTATCGATATTCTCGGTCCATTTCCGATCGCGGTAAGGTAGCTAAAATTCTTGAAAGTAGCTGTAGACTACTTCACCAAATGGATCGAGGCGGAGCCAGTAGCAACCATTTCAGCAGACAAAGTAAGGAAATTTCTATGGAAGAATGTGATATGTTGATATGGTGTTCCTCAAGTGCTAGTATCGGACAACGAGACACAATTTGCGAGTGGAAGGGTTTGTGATTTCTGTCGTGAGATCGATATCTGAATGACATTCACTTCCGTTGAGCACTCCCAATCTAATGGTCAAGCTGAATCAGTTAACAAGGTTGTATTATCAGGATTGAAAAAGTGCGTCCAAGATTCTGGAGCATCATGGGTGGAGGAATTTCCTAGAGTACTATGGTCATATCACACGACTGTTCATTCGTCGACCCAAGACACCCCGTTCAACTTAGTGTACGGGACAAATGCGATGATACCGATTGAGATCAGCGAGCCCTCCGTGTGCGCAACATGCTTTTTTGAGAAGGAATCCGAACAAGGAAGGCGAGTTAATTTGGATTTGATTTCTGAAACAAGAGACAAAGCCCGAATAAATCAAGTGGCAGCTCAGCGAAGGATAGCTTTTAAGTACAATTCAAAGGTCGTCCCAAGAGATTTTGTTGAAGGAGATCGTGTTCTGAAGCATGCTCATCTAACTCAGATGAGGAATAAACTGTCACCCAAATGGGTCGGCCCTTCTAGAATTGACGAGGTAGTTGGCAAAGGAGTTTACTGACTGAAGACGCTAGATGGTGGAAGAATTTCGAGGACCTGGAATGCCGCAAATTTACGTTTTTATTATAGTTAGCCTGCTGTGTTTGTATTAGGTGCACTCTTTTCCTAACTCAGTATTTTTATTCTCTATAAAAATGTAAAAGGGTTTTTTTTGCTGAGAAGGTTTTTAACGAGGCACCATTAGCCAATAAAATTCCATCTCAATAAATGTCATCTCTTATTATTCTTCCATTTTTGACATGCGTTACTTTAAAGGCACCAAACTCGTGATTGATCGGTAAAAATCTGACTGGGCGAGTATAAATAACTCGAACACCAAACTCGTGATTGATCGGTAAAAATCTGACTGGGTGAGTATAAATAAATCAAAGACCAAACTCTTGATTGATCGGAAAAATCCGACTGGGCGAGTATAAATAACTCGAAGACCAAACTCGTGATTGATCGGTAAAAATTCGACTAGGCTAGTATAAATGACTCGAAGACCAAACTCGTGATTGATCTGTAAGAATCCGATTGGATGAGTATAAATAACTCGAAGACCAAACTCGTGATTGATCGGTAAAAATCCGACTGGGCGAGTATAAATAACTCGAAGACCAAACTCGTGATTGATCGGTTGAAATCCGATTGGGCGAGTATAAATAACTCGAAGACTAAACTCGTGATTGATTGGTAAAAATTCGACTGGGCGAGTATAAATAACTCAAAGACTAAACTCATGATTGATCGGTAAAAATCTGACTGGGCGAGTATAAATAACTCGAAGACTAAACTCGTGATTGATTGGTAAAAATTCGACTGGGCGAGTATAAATAACTCAAAGACTAAACTCATGATTGATCGGTAAAAATCTGACTGGGCGAGCTCGAAGACCAAAACTCGTGATTGATCGATAAAAATTCGACTGGGCGAGTATAAATAACTCGAAGACCAAACTTGTGATTGATCGGTAGAAATTTGACTAGGCGAGTATAAATAACTCAAAGACCAAACTCGTGATTGATCGGTAGAAATCCAACATGGCGAGTATAAATAACTCAAAGACCAAAACTCGTGATTGATCGGCAAATGGACGATATTTCTCCGTTTAAAAGTACAGTTTAAACTTAGCATTATTTGTCTCATTTATAATTGAGATCGGTATTTGGACAATCATTTGGTTCAAAGTTTTGAATTATAAACTTAAATTATCTTTCATCCTCCAAGGAGGTCAGATTTTGGGTGATCCCATTATTCAAGAAGTTTCTAAACTTAGATTATTTTTTTATCCTCCAAGGAGGTCGGATTTTGGGTGATC